GTTTATTTTTATTTTTTTTTTAAACAAATTAACTAACAAATGACTATTTCTCCTACATAAAATTTCCAAATCCCCAATATTTTGTGGCTACTGTATCTCAACATTTTTTTTAATAATTACTATAAATTTTCTATAGAGTTCAAGTTAGAACTGTAGATAATCAGTTAATGATAGTTGGAACTTGAATTTCTTAACTATATGATTCCTATGTTTGAATCATTATTCTGCTGAATATTGTATAGTATCTTTTTAATTTAGTAAGAAACTTTCAACATAAATTCTCTAATCATATTCTCTTAGAAGCAGTAAAAGATTAGTTTTGTTTTAATTACAAAATCCATTACATGTATTAATTTTTATCTAGTCTTTAGAATAAAATTAAAATTTAAAACATCAACAGATTGTATTTTAAATATTTAATTAAAGTTTAATCTGATTTGAATTATAAATGCTTATCAAAACCTCCTCAAAATAATTTCGTCATATCCTTTTCTATGTTTTTAATATAGTTTTGACAGTTTTAGCTTTCATTATATCAAAAGGATTTTGTCATATCCCTTATTATGATTTTAATATAGTTTCGTTTAAGTTTTAACTGTTATTAAGAGGTTTCATCTCTCATTATTAATTTGAATTTAAATTGGCGATCTATTTATAATATCTAAGATTGCATTCTAATAAAAATTTTTTTTTTAAAAAATAAGTTTTTGATTCACAATTTTCATTATTGAATTGTTTAATTGCAAACAAAATTTATAATGTTTCTTATAAATAGATAATAAAATAAAAATTATGCAAAGATCAATTTTCTTTGATAAATCAGTTTTTATATGAAATCAAACTTATATAATCTGGTTTATCAAAGAAAATGATCTACAATCAGATTGCAAAAAGTTAATTGATTTAAAACTGGTTTTTGATTACATAATCAGTTTAGAGTACTATTTTACTTAAATAATTATTTTATAACCGTTACTCACTAAATTTTTTTCTAGTAAATAATAAATAAATAATTATTAATTTAATTAAATCCAAATTCTGAATTTATTATATATATCATATATTTAATTATTATTATATATTTACTATTACTTTAAATAGTCTTTTTCACTTTTTTTTATTCTTTAAATTAACTGATATAATTTATAGAGGGATTTTAACTAATTTCTTAATTAATTAATAGAAGGCTGATAATTTAGAACTAAAGTTTTTTATAATTTTAGAATTAAAATATGATATTTTTCAGTATTTTTTTTTACTATTAAAAATTTATTATAGTTTAAATCATTTTTCATATTAACAGTTTAAATATAAAAAGTAAAAAAAATAAGCTAAAATTAAAAATATTTAAATATAAATTCAAATATTTTCTAATTTATTTTACATTTCTTCTATTATCAAATTGGCATATTCTCAAAATTTGATAAATTCAATTTGTTATTAATACTATAAACTGGATTTTTTTCAATTTAAAGGATAATTGTTTAACTATTTTAACAATTTAAGCAATTATATTTTCTTAAATCAGTTTAATCTTAAATTTTAAAAAGAAAAGTTATTTATTGTAAATATTAGATATTAATATATAAATTTTTACCTTTTCTACAAATTATCATTTTCTTGTTGAATTTTTTATTGATTTCAACAAGAAATTGATTTTTTCTTCTAATTTTATTTTTCTTTAAAAGATCAAAACTTTTTATTTTAATTTTTTGATCCTTTTGCAAATTTATCAAGTTTTTTCTCAACTTTTAATTCTCTATATAAGAATAAAGAAATAAATTATTTATATTATTATAAAATAATAAATAAAAATAAATCAAAATAATATCTGATTCATCAAAATCATTAAAAAATTTAATTATAACTATAACTGAAGTACTTATCACTAATTCTTGTCTAAATTTTGATAAAAGCTAAAATTTCTTATATTATTTATAAATTTTATTGATATTTATCTTTAAATTTAACTTATCTTTAGATGATTTTATTTGAACATGTTTTTGTCTTTTTTAATTATAAAAAAGTAAAAATAAGTTTATTATTAAAAAGTTAAATAGTTTATTAATAGATTCAACTTACATTTTAGTATTTCTTTACTAATTTTAATTTTTAAAAATATTTTTGTAATATTATATGTAGTTAAATTCTATTATAGAAAATAAAAAATCAGTTTATTATTTAAAAGTTAAATTGATTGATTAATAAAATTAATTTATATTCTTTTTCTTTTTAGAATAATATTTTATTGATATTTTAGAATGATATTTTAATAATTTGATTGTAAAAAGAAAAATTGTAAAAAGAGAAAAATTTAAAAAAAGATAAAATTTGATAAAAATATCTTTAAAAAAGTAAAAAAATTAAGTTTATATTTATAAATATTATATATTTTAGAAATAAATTTTATAAGTATATAAGATAATATATTAAATCAATATAAGATTTTAAGTAAATTAAAAATAATTTATTAATATAATTAATACTTTAATTATATATTAAATAAGACTTAAATAAATTCTTTCATTATGCATTAAATCTTAAAGTAATCAGAAATAATTTATTAATATATTAAATTAAAATAAACTTAAAATAAATTAGAAATAATACTTTTATCATATATTAAATTAATATAAGATTTAAAGTAAATCAGAAACATTTATTAAAATAATTTATATAATAATATGAATAAATTATTTTTATAAATAACTCTATTTCAATAAATTTTTTAAATATTCATATTATATTAATAAAAAAAAATATTAAATTATCCAAAGAGTTATAATTATATAATATTAATTTATCATATTTTGAGTCAATTTATACTAGTAAATTGTCAAATTTTAAAATAAAATAGGTTAAATTTAGCTAAATTTTGATTAATTTTTGATATACAAAGGGTAGACAAAAGTATCTATACACTTTTTATAAAACGTGAATTAATGCTAATAAAGTCATATAATTATAATAATAAATTACATTCACATAATACTTAAGTATTTATTTATATTATAAAAATAAAAAAATATCAATTTGTTTTTTTTTTTTTTCTGAAAATTTAAAAAAAAAGATAAAAACTAAAGAATTAATTACAATATCTTTTAAAGTGAAAAATAATCTTCATATATTATCTTAGTCAGCTTAAAGTCCTGATCTCAATCCAATTAAGAATCTTTAGGCTGAAGTCAAGAAAAGTATCTGAGCTTATAAAAAACCTCTATCTAATCTTGTTAATCTTGATTAATATGTTAAAAAGGCATGGTAAAGAAATTCTGAAGCATACTATTAAAAATCTAGTTAATAGCATACTACAATGAATTCAAACTGTGATTGCAGCAAATAGTGGCTTAAGTAAGTATTAGTTACCTAATACAAAATGTAAATATTAATCAGTTTTAAATAAAATATTAATTGACCTTTATTGTTAATACAAAAAATTTTAAGTTTTATATTGAGTGAAAAAGTGTGCAAATACTTTATCCATTCTTTGTATACTAATTAATTATAATTAAAATAGATTGAATTTTACTAAATTTTAACTGATTCTTAATATATACTAATTTTTCACATATCTAATTTTTGATTTTGATCAATAATATAAGAGATTATAAAAAGATTTAACTTTATATAATATATTTTTTTAATTAAATAATATTAATATATTTTAGTAAATAACAAAATCTTTATTATAATATAATTTAAAAATATTTTATTATAAAATACTTATTTAAATATAAATATTTAATTAAAATATAAACAATTTATAAAAATATTCTTCAAATTATTATTAAATCTATTTAACTTATTTAATTTACACAAGTATTATTTAATAATATTTTTTAAATTTATGTAGATTTTAATTTATTACAACAGAAATTGAAAAATTTAAATTAATTTCAAGTTATATATTTATTATATAATAATGAAAATTCATCTTATAATATGAATAAAAATAACAAAAGTGAAAATAATTTTCTGAAAAGAGCATTAAAAAAATATGTTTCTTAAACCAATTAAATATGATCAATTATTTATTTATTCATTTTTTAATATTTTACCTTTTTTAGAGCCAATTTGCTAAATTATTAAAAGAAAGAATTTGCTATTTTATAAAAAGAATCTTAAGATAACACAACTGTTGAAAAGTTGAAATACTGATATTTCTTTGATCATATTTAGAAAATATTGAAAAAGTTACTGAATAAGAATGCAAATGAAGCAATTCCTAATTAAAACTCTTCTAAATAAATGAATTATTAAACTAATTCTAATTATGACTCAATTAATGTTTCAATCTATTTAATTTTAGATAATTTAAATAGCAATATTAATTCACAAATTTTTGCGTTATTAATAAAAATATATATATAATTTATTTAATATCTATAATTCTAAATTTACATATAACCAAAACTTTTGATTTGATTGGCTTGACCTGAATTTTATTTTAAATTATAAATTATGCATTATGTAGCTATGTTTATGAATAATATTTTAGTAATTAGCAAGTAGTCTCTGGTTCCTTTGCAATAGAAAGAAAGGCAAACAAAAAATAAAGTGAATTAATGAAATTTTTGGTCCGAAAAACATATTTAATAATATATTATTTGATTTTTGATTTTCCGATAGTTTCATTGCGAAGAGTACAATTTGAAAGATCAAATAATAAATTATTAATTGCTTTTTATTATTTAAACAAAAAGGGATTTTTTTTTTTTTTTTTTTAATAAATAATCGTAAATCGTATACAAGGAAATAAATGAAAATTAATTGTACAAAAAAATAAAAAAAAAAAAAAATCCAAAAGCCCAAACAAATACAATTGAAATTCGAATACATCACTTATTAAAAGAATAAAGTGAATCATTTTCAAAAAGAAGTATACTATGAATAATAATGCTATAAATCTTAAATCTCTATTCCATTTTTTCATTTTTCATTCTAGTCGAATAATTTCTCAATAGTATTCCTCTCGCTAATTAAATAACTTTTGTATTTTTTCACTTATAAATTCTGCTTCTTTTTTCTTTTTCGAAAGTAAAGCCATTACCAACAGAAGAAGGAGTACTTGGTCTACTACCATCAAAGTTAGAACCAAACATCACACTAGACCTTCTACTTGTAGGAGAAGATGGGGAAGGTGGTCCACCACTACCACTTGAAGAGGAAAGTGAGTTAACAGAATGATGATGTAAATGAAGTGGAGTAAGATGATATTTAGAATATCTAGGATTTATTGGTGGTTGTATATTAGATTCTGAAGTTGTTCTACGGTAATCATTAAATTCACTACTAGCGGTTTTTGTGTAAGAAGTATTTCTTACTTGTCCAAGTGGTGGAGGACAACTTCTATCATTTACACTGAGACGTTTTTTAAGCCTAGTTGAAGTTGGATTTACGAAATCTCTTTGAGTAGATCCCATTCGAGACGGATTAGGTTCCAAATTAACAGGAATAGATTCATCAATAACAGGATTAATTCCATGTTTTAAATATTGAGCAGAAACCATCTCTCGTTGATATTTATGATATTCATTCATTGACATCCTTTTAATAGCCTTTTGATTTCTATTAGAAGGAGGAGGATTAGCACCAGCAACCAACCTATTAGAATCACTTTTTATGGAGGAACTTCTTGAATGATTTGATTTAATTGAATTTACTCGGCGAATTCTTTCAGTCAGTGGGAAATCTGGGGTATGTGGAATGCCACCACTTGGAAAACATATTATACGATGTTCATCATAATCATCATACAATTCATCATCATAATAATGTCCATTATGATAAAAATCATCATATTCGTATTCATTTAAATAAGTTGAATAAGTTTTATTCCTTTGAATATAATTATTCGATTTTACATTACGATAATGTGAGACATTATTATCTCTATGATATCTACTGCCACTACTATCTACACTCGCCGATGATGACGATGAAGCCGAGGATGAGAATCTTCGCTCTTCAAGGTAACGAGGTCTAGGTTCTTTTAAAAATTCACGTGGAGTATGTACTAAAGGCGGGGTTTTTGCCGCAGGAGGAGAATATTGTAAACGTCGAGGAGGATAATCCGGGGTCATCGATCGATTTTGGTTCAATAACATACTTGAAGTATTTTTAATTCGAACTTCATCAAAATGTTCTTGATTTCCACGTGAAGTTGGGGGCTTATTTTTCGTGATATTCGTATGCCTTAATCCCAGTGGAATGTCATCCTCATCCTCATCCTCATCGCTTTCTTCCTCATCGGTATCATCATTATCCTCGCTTGTACTCTCACTATCAATATCACTATCTTTTAATATTACAAGCGATTTTCTCCGGCGATTTGATAAAGTAGATATGGTAACGGAATTGGTTGATCTATCTGATGTTTTTCTTTGTAAATGTTGTCTTTTTAATTCAGTGATAGGATCCAACCTTTTTAACTCTGGTGCTGATTTTTTTAAATCATTAGAGTTATTTTTTCTAAATTTTTTATCTAAATCATCATTATGATTTTTTGTAGAAGTTACGTTTACGTTATTATAAGGTTTACTTTGTGATGATTTTTGATTTTTTGAGTTGGTTTTTTGTGATTTCTTATTAGTTTTTTGTGTCTTAGACGAGGTGTCTTGTGTAGAAGCTTTTGTTTTTTTCGAAGAAGACTGTTTTTTACTTGATAAAGAAGATAAAAATGTAAATGCTTTACGCATACTTGCTCGAATTCTCACTTTTGTTTTTTTATTTTTTAGGTTAAAGAAATAAATTAAAGGCGGTTAATTTTTTAAAGAAACGTGTTTAAATTATTTTCTTCAGGGTGAAAAATAAAAAAAAAAAAATACTGTTAAAAAAAAATAAATTTGGCGCAAGATATGTTGAATAATTTTTTTTATTTTTTTTTTATTTTTTTTTTTATATATATATACAAAATATGACTTGAATATCTTTTTTTTTTATTTGACTTTCTTTAAATAAATAAAGAAAATTTCAAATCATATTAATTACAAAGGAAAAAAAAAAAAAAGGTGTGAAAAAAAAAGAAAAAAGGAAAAAAAAAAAAAAAAAATTTATTCGCGAAAGAAAATGAAGACCCAAAAAGTGAATACCCTTTATATATAAATAGATGAATAGATGGTCAGATGCATATTGTTTCACAAGTAGAAACTTTCTGTTTAATTTTAGTATTGTGTATTATTTATATTTGTTGTCATATTGTTAAGAAAAATAAATGCACGAAAAATTATCGGGATTATCAAAAATGAAAATGATCAATTGATGTGGAAAGATTTTTTAGTTAATCATTTTTTTTTTATTTTAAAAAAAAAAAAAATCTTTTTTATATGGGCACTCAAGGAATCAACATCGCGAAAGAAAAGGTTTTGACGCAATTGTGTACTTCCATCAATGTACATTAAACAGACACAAACCTTTATATTTCGTTTTACAAACAAATCTCAAAATAGTATTTTGGAAAAAAAAAAAATTTGTTCTGAAAAGTTTCAAAAATTTCCTTAATGGATCCATTCAATTAAAATACAGATAAAGTAATAAATTCGAAGGGTTACACCGCGTTTTTAAGCTCATTTCCGGTAAAGGCGTAAATTAAGTCACTTTAAGGTTTGCATTCAAACAACAATGGGTTATTCACAGATCGGAATATCCGGAGGGTGGAAATTGAAAAAGGGCCATTAAATGTTTAGAAAAGATTCACGTCGCACATCAAATTTTTTAAGTTCTAACCCTATATAACCGAACGACAATGTGCTGTTCCGGTTGTAACTTTCCTTATGGAGCAAGCCATTAAATGTATGACTTCATCTTGGATTGATAACTCGAATGGCTCTAACCAAATTATACAATTTAATACTACTAAATTTATTAGTATGAGCCCTATATTGAAAATGCATCATAAACACCATGGGAAAATGTTTTTGATCCGTTACCAGGGCATATCAATGTCTTAGCATCTGCGAGTCGATTTGCCATCACCAAGATTAGTTGGCGCAGATCATTTTCGTGTAGCGATAAATTGTTCATTATGAAATTTTTTTAAATAGCAAATACAGTCAACAAGAAGAAAAAAATAATTTCTTAGAATTATTCAGATGGTTTAGGAACTGCTTTTTTAATAAATAAATATATATATATGAATGTTTACTTCAATAACAATTTAGCTAATATTATTTATATACACCCCCTTGAACAAAAGTTTAATTAATGTTTTAATAGACTATCAAAAATGTAAATATGATAACTTCAAATACCAATTTTTTTTTGAAAGTTCAATATATTTAATAAATTAATGGATGATTTATTATGTACCATTTTTTTTAAAAAAAAATTTGTATTTGTATTATAAAAAAACTGTCTTTATATTAAAAAGTCCTTGTTTGCATAATATATCTCAAAATCAATTAATCAAAGAAAATCTTTTAAAAGATTCATCGAAGAAAACCCTCAGGTTTTTCGAGTGCCTTGATCCTAGCTTGTGTTGTTTTGCAAATGCATAGACAAAACCCATACCTGATTCATTACATTATTTCCCACAACTACGGATCGACTATACATGCAGGTTTTGACATGAATTATCGTAACACAGTATAGAAACAGTAATTATACATGCCGATTAAATTCAATAACCAAAAAGATCAAACGTACTTTATCCATTTATATATAAAACGCTCTTGCTTTCGATTGAAATTACTTCATCGATAACATGAAGCCTTTATTAGCAAACATATCATCGATCATTTCAAGACTTGATACGGATGAATCAAAGAGAATGTATACAAAGAAAAGAAGTTGAAGTTGGATACGCTTAATGAAAATTTTGTGAGGAAGTTGACATATACAAATGAACACGATGATTTGGAAACAGCTGATAATATTTTTTTCCAAATGATTACCAACCTCCAACTGAAGCAGTTCGCCACTAACAACCAGAAATTTTGCAGTATCAAAATGTTAATTTTGTTCGGATCGCATTAAAGCAGGTCCTTTCACGAAACTTTATACAAGGTACAGTAAACTTGAATATTTGTCAATTTCTTTTTTTTTTTTCCTATTAATGTGTTAGGACTAGAGATCCGAGTTATAGAGTATAATTAGCTCGAATTGAAGTATCCACTCATCTTGATATCCCATTAGGTCTCAACTACCCTCATAGGACTAGAATTAGAATTCTTAAAAATTGAAAATGCAATTGTTGCTGTTATCATGGATATTATATGATATTAATCCTTGGCATTATGAGCAAGAGTACCTACAGTTCGTGACACAGTAACATGCTGTTGAGAGTTTAAGTTGCATTCAAGGAAACATATTTTATGTAACAATCTTGGTCGGAACCATTCAAGGTTCTCTTAAGGACATATTTAAGAGAATCGATATATGATTTTCTATGCCTATCTCTCCGTCTTCTTTTGAATGAAGAGACGGATAACAGTGGATCATTTATGGAAAGTTCTGAAAAAGATCTGGCAAATTACATTGATTCTAACAACAAAACTTTCCAACGCTGTATTAGTGATCTTGGTGGAGCTTTTGAAATTTTTATTCTATGATATGTTATAAAAGTTATAAACAATCTAGACAGACATCCAGTGAATAATATGATACGTTAACGATTTATGGAAAAAATATCCGTTTAGAGATTTTGCATCCTTAACATTGTGAATGAGGATATTATGTTGACCAACCAACTAATGCAAATACACGAATCAAGAACAATTAGAAATATAGGAGAAGGAACTGTAGATAAAATACATAACAAAGACCATTTTTAGATGATAGTGATCTTTAGAAACATTCCGACTTTTTGATTATCTTGGAATTGATAAAACTATTACATAAATAAGCTTATCGTGTTGAAAAATTTTTTTTTGAATAAGAAATGCATTATTTATATAACAAGAAAGATGAAAATATTAATATAAAAATAGTTAAAAATAAAGAAAGTAAAAAAATATGTACAAGAAAATTGAATTTAGACTACATCTAATAAATCTTATCTTATCCGTGAGGTTAATTTCGTATATCGAGGTTTTGGCCGTTTCTATCGCTCAGGCGTGAAACTATTTCTTGAATGCAGCACCTATCGTATCTCTCCATTGTCTAAGTATTCATTAATAACCGGGCGACCTTTATTTATCTTGAATTGTTCCAATTACCTTCTCACCAATATATTTATATTTTTGATAAGAAAAACAATTGCTACAACTAACCATATATGGGAGTGTTTCTAGGAAAATCAGGTTCCGAGAAATTTTTGACTAAAATTAAGAGCTTAATACATTTTAATCTAATAACATCAAAAACTAAAATGCAATAAAAATCTCAATTTTGCTAAAAAAATTCCCGGAACCTGATTTTCCTAGCAATCAACCCATATAGCATTGAATCATGCAATAAAAATAGAAAATTGGAAAAAATTTTTAACTGCGCAGATAACTTCTGTGCGACATTGGGCGATGTTATAATAACGTCTAATCAAGTATTCGTTAAGTCACATGAGACCTGATCATGTAATTTTTTTTTTATAAATAAAATCTTTTTTCATTGTATATGTGAAAATATAATCAATTTCTCTCTTTTAAAAAAAATCTTTCGATTAGATTTTCAGAGATCAGTATTTACTTTCCTTTTTCAAATCCGTTTTTATTAAAATAACTATATAACAATGGGAAACGATGGAGGTTCAATTCCAAAACGTATTGAGCTTGTTAAAGAAAAACAAAAAGAAGTTAGACCAGATCAAAATGCATTGAAAATAGCTACTTGGTTTTTTTGTGCTCTATCCAAGGTATTTAAGTAATTTCTTTGTTTTCTTTAAGGTTTCGCTTGTTTTAAATAAAGATCGTCATTTTGTAATTAGATTAGATCTAACTTGTCTGTAACCCTTTTATAGAGGCCGTTACAAGATCCTGTCGTTGTGTGTGGATTAGGTAAATTATATAATAAAGATGCTGTTATAGAATATTTATTAAATAAAAATGCTTATGGTGATGGTGATACTATTTGTTCTCACATCTCAACCATGAAGGTATTTAAGATGTTTCTTTCTTTTTTTTTTTTGTGATTACGCTTGTGCATTGATAATTAAAAAAAAAAAAAAAACAACTCTATAATGTATAGGATGTAAAAACATTAAAATTGGCGGCAAATCCAGCTTTTAAAGATTCAAATGAAGCTAGTATAGCACATTTCGATCAAGGAATGGTATCTAGATTTATTTGCCCTATCACTATGAAAGAAATGAACGGAAAATTGAAATTCGTTTATTTGGAAACTTGCGGTTGTGTATTTTCCGAGCAAGGTTTAAAAGAAGTACCTAGTTCTACTTGTATACAGGTATACAAAAAATTTGATACTTTTAAAACAAATTTTTTTTTTTGATCAAGATATATTAATCTTTTACTTTTTGAATTGTAGTGCAATAAATCTTTTAAACAAGAAAATATTATTACTATAAATCCAAGTCCTGTTGAACAAGAGCAGTTAAGGGTCGCTTTAGTGGAGAAAAAAACAATAGAGAAAGAAAAGAAAGAAAAGAAGAAAAACAAGGCTTTGTTACGACAAGAATCCGCCGAAGATAATGTCATAGCTGAATCTTCATCATCTGCTTCACGTAACAAGAGAAAAAGAGAAGATAATGGCGAACAATCAATATCAAAGAAACCAGCAATCGAATTAGAAGTTGGTGTTACAGCTAGTAGTAGCAGCCCAAGTACTCATAGTGGAATTGGTGGTAATAGTGTTACAGCTGTTGTTAACCAAAAAGTTCAAGAACATTTGGTTAACGCCTCTTCTAAAAACAAACAGTCTAAAGCCATTCAGTCTATTTATTCGCAGAAAAAAGATAAGAATGTTACTGAAAGTTATTTAGTTAGAGGTACCTTTAATAGATATGCTGCGTAATTTGTCAAAAAAAAATATATAATAATAAAATGGTACACAGACTTCTTAAAATGGTAATTTTATTATTTAAATCACGTGACTCATTTGCAATGATAAATTCGCGTTTTCCTTAATTCATTTTATTGAGATTTATTCCTTTGTTTTATTTTAATGAGTCAACGTTAGTGTTGTAAGTAAATAATTACGCTTTACCAGTTTCATAAATAACAAATTATTTACACTTCAACAGTAAAAGTTATTAACGTTACGCGCTTTTAGCACAATGGAACAAAATCAGTATCAGTTCAAAAGTATCTTGAAAACGAGTCAAGAAGCAGAGACACCACCTCCCTTGTTCCGTTCAGGTCCGGATTCATCGGGCACTTCAAAAACATTTTCTTTCGTAGCACCGCATTATAAGGATTTTATCAATGATTTAACTCTTGGTGAAGGAGATTCTTTTTTTGGTATGATTCAAATCTTTCATTCTTATCTATGTATACAAAATTTCATGAATTATTGATTTAAATCGCACGTTTTATGATGTTTTCTAGGTTCTGCAAAAAGATTGACAAGTCCCACGATTGGAAGGCAAACACTTTATACACCGTCAAGGAAACTTTCATTCACATCGATACTAGATGAGGTTTTGCCTAATAAATTAACAGGTCCATTCGATCCTAATGTTAATTCAAGGGAGGTTAAAATAAATATAATAGAAAAGCTCACTACAAAGAGTCCTTTGAGAGAACAAAAGAAAATAAATTTTCTTGAAAACAATCTTAATGTAAAATTTGGAGCCGATAAATCCATCAAAATCCGTGTAAACGCCCCGCCAGCTAAAAAAAAAGTAGCAAACAAAGCTATTAAGAATACTACTGCTACGGCTCAAACCAAGCAAGTCACAATTCCAAAAGAATTTAATTTTTCCAAACGTTTTGATAAACAACAAGTTAAGAATCATCCTACAAATCATTCTCAAAGGATTCAGGTATGAATCTTCTCATTTACTGGGACGAATTCATTAATGGTTAATAGAATACTCACCCCCATTGATCTATGCTTTTTAAGAAACGGCAACCTGTTAAAAAAACCGGCATAGGTCTGAGGGTTCCTCCAAAAAGATTTAAGACTTCTAAATGTCTTGATAAACCACATGCTAAAAGAAATAATCCTATGAATAAATCTCAAAGGGTTCAGGTATGAATAATTTCGCGACTTGCATGAATCAATTGTTTCATTATAATTCCCTAATCATTTATCTATTTTAAGAAACAGCAACCTGTAAAAAAATCCGGCACAGATTCAACGGTTACTATTCCAAAAGAATTTAATTTTTCTAAACGTTTGGATAAACCACGTAGACCAAATGTTAAAAATTATCCTACGCGTAAATCTCATGGGATTCAGGTATGAATGTGCTACTTGCTCGAATCAAGTTATTGAGATATTATTTAACCCTCTTATTTACGATTATTTAAGAAACGTCAACCCGTCAAAACGATTTTGACAATTCCCAAACCCTTCAGATTTCACGTGGGAAACCGAGTGGTCAATAAACATTCGCCAAAATCACCGTTTATTTCATTGGCGGAACGAGTGCAACAATTTATGGAGAAAACCCCGGACAGATTCAAATCAAAGCCTGTAACGATGAAGGTAAAAAGCGATGGCATAAAACTTGATAAGTGTCCGAATTTTTAAATTAACTAAAAAATTTTTTTCTGTTGTAGTCTATTTCGTATTATGATAAACCTCCTACGAAAGCAAAATCTCCTTTTTTACGCACTAAATTAAGGGCTAACAAGCAAACCTGAGTTTAACTTAATAATGTTAAACCGTTAAGCATGCAACAGGTCTGAAGGTCGATTGCCAACCTTTTTTTTTTATTATTATTGCAATACAAATGATCAATTAAATTAAAATCGAAGAATAGACATGACTTTTCTGGAAATAAAAAAAAAAAACTGAAATTTTAATAAAATCTGCGATGATTTTTAGTAAAATAGCAATTCCTTTATTTAAAGTATTTTCTATTTAATATAGAACAAAGCATCTATAATATTTTATTCCAGTCCAATAGAATAATAATTTCTTATGACCAACCTCTTTTTATTATTTTCTTCAATGATCACGGCTTAGATGCACGACTTACATAGCGTCGCCCGGAAAAAAGTGGTAGCCGAATTTATTTGCCGGATATTTAGTATTAGGGTTAATATAGGATTATGAATAGGATTAGAGTAGAATTAGGATTAGTTAAGGTGTTAGGAAATTTGTCCGTTCTTACCAAGTATTCTGGGACAGAGAAGTATATGTTACCCAACTAATACCATTTTTGATTATGTCTCGTTTTGTTTACTTTCTTCTTACTCTTATAGTTAAGTTTTGCTAGATTCCTAAGTTAAGTATATTTGTGATTAATATTTTTTATAGAGCGTTAGCAGGAGGAAAGATGATGACGTTGTAGTGATATGGTCGACTTGAGTCTGAAACTTTTTAACGAGTTAATCCTTTTCTTTTTTGTACAGTTTGAGCTTTCTTATTATGATAAAAGGCCGTGGCAACACAATATTTGTTATATGAATTCAAATATAAGTTAACAGTGTTTATAATCAAGTAATTTAATTATCAATTATGAATTTCATAATAAATTATTCTTTTTTATCATATTGTCATAGCAAAGTAATTTTAAAAGTAAAGACATCAAGTCTGTAATCATCTTCAAAAAGTGTATAAATTTAGTAAAGAACAGACATTTATATTAATTTCTCTTTAGAGAATCAGGCAAATTAAAAATCAGACATTCTCTAAAGAAGAAAGATCAGAAGAAAGAGAAGTAAATAAATGTTAAAAAAACAGCTTAGTATATTATGTGAGATTAACTTAGTGAAAAAGAGATAAAAAGCAATAAGTAGAATCTTAGTTAAAATTGTCTTTAATCCTGTTGTTAATTTATTTGTCTTTCTAGACTTCAAAAAGAATTGTGAACTTTTAATACTCCAAAAAAAATAATTTCTACTACATTGAATTCAGAGATAATTAGATTATCTAATAAAATCTAAAAGAAGTATTACAAATTATGTAAAAATGAAGAGATTGATTTTTTGGATTACTTCTCATTAGAATCTATTAAAGAAAAATCAAATTAGTACATTATGTTTAATACATCTGACAAATAAACTAGCTAATATAATGATAATACTCTGTATTTATCTTGCTAAAATTAAAACTTATGAATATCTAATATTGATATAATTGATTATGCAAAAAATTGATGTTAAGAACATTCTCAGATATTTAGATCCTAAAAAAAGATAAAGAGTAGATAAGGCAATTACTTATAATTATAACTTGATATATCAATATAATATATAATAATATTTGTTTATACCAATATTTTTTCTTTCCATTTTTACTATTAGTAAAAAAATCTTATTATATCAATATCTTATATTATTTTATGATATAATATTTACTAATATTATCTTTAGTTTTATATATAGTAACATATTAAAAAATCTGATTTATATATTGATATATCAATATATTAACTATTTAAGGTTAGATCAATTATCTGATTTTTATTTTTTCTTTATTCTCTTTTAATAATGTTAGATAAAAAAAAATAGTTTAATAACCATTTTAATCAAGAAAATGAATTACTTTAACAAAAATACAAAACATCAAATTTGTTTGAACTTTTAAAAAATCTATAACTAACTTGCTATTCAAAATAATATTAATAAAGTTGTAAGCGAAACCAAAATCTTAAGGTCAAAATGTTTTGGCTTTCAAAAATGAAAATCTGAAACTTTCTGATAATCTGAAACTAAAACAAAATTGGTGAAACTGGACAAAACTAAACAATACTAGCAAAATCTTCCAAAACTAGTTAGCCAATCAAAATAAATGCTGATTTAAACCTTTAATACTACAAATCAATAAATTAATATAATAAAAACTAATTTCAAAATTTATTTATTAATACATTGAAGTTGCTATATTGATAAATTAGGCTAACTAATACACTATTTTAATTATAATATATAATTAGTATATAATTTATTATTTATTAATTCGATACATCTAAAAACAAAAATTTCACGTTTAAAAAAATAAAGCAGTTAAAATGAAATAAAACATATTTTATACTTTATATTAAAATGCTTCACAAAAATTATATATTGCATTTCAATGACCTTTTCTTGTTGAATATATGTTCCCCAAACTATTGATTTAAGTTTCTCACTAACTTTTCGTTTAAGTAATGAAGTATTATTTATTTTAGATTTAATGATGCAGTATTGCGATAAGGTTATTTAAATTTAAAAAGAACACGCACAATCAAGATACAGCATTCGAGAAGCAAAATTTTAAAAACTACTGCTATTCCCCATTGTTATATTCCAAATCTGTTTGAGTCGATACTTCCTTCTAGAAGTAATGAAGTATAATCCTGTTGAAGTAGTTAAATTAACCTCCATTTTGTAAGATACGAATGCATTAATATTTGTTTTACCTACAATATTATATATTTGATTTTCACGTAAATATTAAGTTTTGGAGAATTTCAAATAATTCAGATTAAATTTCAAACTCAATCAGACATTTCAGAAATTTTTTGCTGAGGCATAACTAATATTGCCTAGAATTTAGATTTAGATTAGACATAATAATCAAGTTTTGCCTGAACCTTTAATATTAAATAAAATACTATTTTAGATATTTTAAAAAATAAAGACATATAATTACTCATAGATGTAACCTTAAAAGAAGGTAAAAAATAAAGGAATAGGGTTGTATAATTTTTACAAATAGAAGAAGCTAAATATTATGAATTACAAATATACTAGTAGTATAATTTACCATTAATATTGATATTTTATATAAAAAGATAAAATTTTTCATTAAGCATTTGAAACTAATAACTTTTTAACTTTTAATGAATAGATTTCTAATTTTAAAAATACAATAATATATGAAAATATATTAAATTAAGAAATGCAACAAATGTTCTACTGAAAACTTTAGATGAGAAAAGACGAAAATTGTATGAAATTATTAAGAAATATAATTTAAACAATATTTTTAATATAATGAAACAGATAAATTCTTTATTTTGTAAAAAATTTAAACTTATACATATTAAATTTTCATTTATTTTTAGATTTATATTAGGATCTTAAACTATTAAAGATAATTAGTAAGAAGGTTACATTTAAAAAAAAATCTAAAAAAAGAATTAATATTCTTTTTATATGTAATATAACTGGATCAGAAAAATTAAAGTCACTTTTTATTCATATTTATTAAAATTCATGAGTATTAAAGATAAAACAAGAAGAATTGCCAATTGATTATTACTAGAATAGATGCAAATTTTTATATAGAATAAATATTGAATGTGCAAATATAATCACAAAATTGTAAAATTCTTTTATTAATTAATAATATTCCTATATATATTATCCCTTCAAGCGTTTTGCAGGCAAATTTGCCTGCAATTTTATTTAATAATTAA